ACTTAAGGTTAGGGAATGGAACAAACCCTGATGTGCTACACACACTAAATGCATGTCTGCCTTAAATCCCAAAGTTTGTTGAGGAAATATTGTTTTTTACTTTCTTCATGATTGGACTTGTGATTTTCACCTCAAAGACAATAAAACGAGGGAAGAAAACCCCAGAGTCCCAAGTCATATCTAAGGCCTAGAGGCCAGATTCATGCAATAGAAGAACAAGAAGTTTGTAAAAATGTTTAAAGGGGTCATAGGTTGCTACATGCACTTTTACAAGTTGTTTGAACTGAAATGTGTGTTGGCAGTGTGTGTACACAACCACCCTTTAATGATAAAAATCCACCTTTCTCAAATCGAGCCGATCTCAGATGCCTGTCTGTGTGACGTCACACAGATCTACCTAAATGCGTCTATCTTCGCGCGAATCATTCGTGATTCAGTATAAGGTTTTTTTTAATTAATCTTTGCAAATCACCTTTCCTAATAATAAGCTAATTAGCAAGTTTCACGATGAATGCGGCTAAAGTAAACAGTCCCTCAGAGAGCAGGTGTTTTTTACACTACCATTGAGAAATTTTAACCAAACTATGTTACAGACTTTTCATTAAGACCCTAAAGAATCATATCAACTTGTGGAAAATGGGCATCCTATGACCCCTTAAAGGCAAGACCTTGACTTACATAAATGCAAGGAAACCTATCTGAACAGGTCTGTTAAATGTATACAGGCCTTCCTAAAGATTGATACATCTAGAGTTTTAAAGGGGTCATATGATGCGATTTCAAGTTTTCCTTTCTCTTTGGAGTGTTACAAGCTGATTGTGCATAGATAAGATCCCTGAAGTTGCAAAGACTAAAGTCTCAAAACCAAAGAGATATTCTTTATCAAAGTTAAGACTCTGCCACGCCCCCCTAAAACGGCTCATTCTAACACGCCCCCACATATCTACATCACCATGTGGAAATATTTGCATAATGCGCCCAAATGATCACGCAAAGAAAGAAGGCGTGGTTTCAGGAACAGCAGTGTTTCAGTAAAGCACTTTATTTGGCCTTCCGAAAGTAGATGCATTTAGGAATCTTTAAGATTACTTACATTACTTACACAATGCATTTTATGGACGACCGTTTCACGAACCTAGGAGAGGAGGTAATTCTGACTTTGCTATGACAATCTGGCGCTTCTGAATCAGCTACTGTTTTGTTATTAGTTTAAGTATTTGCTATTGACTGTTCAAATGCGGAGTTTTGCGCATCGTGCGTGTGTGTGTGTGTGCGTGCGTGCGCACGCGTGTGTGTGTGAGAGAGAGACAGGGACACATCACAGTGGAGTCAGCTGTCTTAACCGTGGCTTGTGTACTGCAAACACATACCAGCTTCATCACTGTGTCTGTCACGCGACTCTGTTCCCCTTTCGGGCTCTGTCTTTACATTTATTTTGAAAGATGAAGCTCGCGATTATGGTAAGGGGCGTTACATTTCCGACGAGTGCTTGCGGTGTTCGGCCAATCACAATGCACTGGGTCAGCTGGCCAATCAGAGCAGACTGCGCTTGTCGGAAGGAGGGACTTTGTAGAAAACGAAGCGTTTGAGAGAGGCGGGGCATAGAGGACCTACAATAATGTACAGTATTTGAAAAATAATGTGTTTTTTGAACATTAAAGCATGTCAACATATTCTGTTACACCAAATACACAAAATAATGATCTTAAAAAAACATCATATGACCCCTTTAAAAAAAGACAGAAAGAGGCAGACTAACTTTACTCCACACTAAGCAAATTTATGTTCTTTCAGTCCTAAGTGCAATTTTCTGAGATTCAGAGGGCACAACAGAAATGATGATGAATGTATCACCACCACCTGCTTTGTTCAAAAAAATTGTATATATAAGCTTTTAAAGCCTTTTAAAGAGAGAAAAGAAACCACTGAGGGAGCGTGAGGGCAAATGGGCTGTTGAAAAGACCAGCTGGCCATCAGTGCTTTTTGTGTTTTGTATGTTGGTGTGGTGATGTCTCTACCAGGCCTATTAATCAGCTTGTTGAACAGCATTCCACCGTTAAAGGTCATTTATAGGGTATTATGTGCAAGATGGTATTGCGGTAATTCAATTTTCACTGTTTATTTACAGGTGGCAAGAGGCATGAAAATCTTTCCAGACTGCTAACTGCAAACACTACACAAGTTTAAAAAAGACTTGATATTTTCCTGGCTGCTGCATTTCATTGAATAATCAGAGGTGATTTTATTCACAATCAATTCAACTGCATTTAAGTTTTATGTGGGCCAACACTCTGAAAATATAATACTCACTTGTTTGTTTGCCTCAGCTCTATTAAAAAAAAAGAAAAAAAAAAAGAGAGTTT